CAAACAATGAATCATGGAACACTACATCTAAAACTAATGATGTAATGTATGGGGATTAACATAACAATAAAAAAATTTAAAAAAAAGAAAGAAAGGTCTGCCTCCCTCTGCACAGGGTTATCTACTTGTGAACCACTCTCCTACTCCAAAGGGCGTGGTAGATTTTTTAAAATTTGCTTTTTTTCCTCTCGGTTAGTTAATATATAAATAGGAATGATACAGATTTGATAGAGAAAGCCTGTTACAACTTTCAGATAGGAACTGCTAGTGAAAATCACTAGCCTTACAAATAAATGCTGAGTTAAGGCTATACTTTTTTGTGGTCTACACAGAGCAGTGAAAGAATATCCTGGTCAACTAGCCCAAAGACATGCTAATTATATGTAGCCTTTTCACACATGAGTCTCCTGAGAGAATATAAATATAGCCTTAGCAGGGTTGAAGCACCTTGTCTGACACCCATAAACATGGCTGTGCTCTGTCTGATCGCCAACTGCTGTTTCAACCCTTTGGGAAATAGGTGCGGCCTCATCTTTGAGATAATCATCCAAACCATTATAAAGCAATTCTCATAAGTTCTCAGGAACTATAAAACCTAGGTCTGTAGGTACACTCAAGATGGATAAATGGATGCTAGTGAATTTTCTAAAATTCCCAACATGCAAACCTCCTTTTACCTATACTTCTATAACTCTTGGTAACTTTTATTACCACACTCCCTGTACGATACGATTATAAGTCTGCCTCCTATTCTCTAAACTTCTTCTAAAATGAGGACTACCAGGCAGACGCAGACAGCAGATGAAAGACTATGGGTAAACCTGACTCATGACTTTATCCCAACCAAACTCTTCTCCAGTCTCTGGGTATGCCCGTTCCTTGAGTTTTAGAACAATGCCTACTTTCCTCTAATCGAGCCTGACAAAACTAGCCACACCCCAACTACAACATCGGGAAGGCTCACTGTACTTGGTTTCACTCTCCTCAGTTTCTGGTATCTTTTTATGCAATTATTTTAGTGCTATACGTGTTGTCTAATGGATTTTAGACCCTCTACAATATCTGAAACTATAAACAAAAAAATGAGCTCAATAAATGTAAATGATTTAGTCTTCCACAGCAACCATTATCATAAATCATGAATGGAAGTATCAGTAGCCATTCTGCTAGTTTTCTGCCTAAGAGTTTTGGCAGAAGTACAAGGGGCATATGTCTGCTCCTGGCTCAGTAACAGAATAAAGGCAGTGCCTTCACAACTGACTATATGCTGAAGTCAGATTTGTTGCCAATTCTTTTCATATTCACAATAATTTTCTAGTGTATGTAATAACAACTTATTTTCTAAATTGGGTGAAACAGAGAAAATTAGTATTAAATTATTTATTAACTTCGGGTTTTGTAACCTCATTTTATAAAATAAAAAATCCTAGCTCCGTTTCCTACCCCAAGCAAGTGGACTGTTTTAAAATGATACTTGCACGTTTGAGAATTCTTTATGCTTATTCGGAACATTCTAATTTAGATAATACATTACCACAGAAACTCTTCTGGGGGTGTACCGAGTTAACTAATCCCTCTGAATGCCAAATAATTAAAAATATTTAGCAATATGTGGCTTCATATGTACAAACATAAGATGTTCTTTTAGAGTATCAAAGTATATATACTTCGAACTCTAAAATTATTTGATAGAAAAAAATAAGAATCTCTCACTTGACCCTGTCCCCATGCAGAATTATGGTGGTTATCAAAAGCTTAAATAAATTGGTTACACAGTATAATTGTTTCAAATATGTATGTTCAAGGTCACTGATAATACTGGTCATATTATTTTTTAAAGTTTTACAACCAATCTTTGTACATTTAATACCACCTTTATAATAAGGTACATAAAATACTTTTATTCCCTCAAACACAAAAAAATTCATATAAACAATTTTTCAAGTAAGAAAAGTACTGGCAATATAATAGCAGTAAATGGCTTGATCGATTGTGTTCCTGCCGTAAATTACAATGCAAGAATTAATCATAAACTTACATTTAGATGATCTATTTAAATGCTAAGTTTTACGTTTTTTTCTCTTTAATTTTGCTCATCTTTACAGATTATTTGATTTCCTTCTGCAGATAACCTACACAAAGAAAGATGATTACCTCCTTCCAAACAAATAGAAATTTCTATTTTTGACTAACACTTCTGCCTATTTTAACTTGCTCTATGCACTGAACTTTCCCACGTGATTACCTAGGAAGGCAGATACTTTTAAGTTTCTCTTTCTGAAGAAGGTTTAACGTGAAGCTGCTCATTTCTCTTTAATGCAGCACCGTCATTCTGCAATTAAAACATACTAATTACCATGTTTTCAACAGATGCAAATGCAGCTCAATTAAAATTCTAGTCCATGTTACAAATTAAGCTACTTAATTCTGCAAGGTATCATGTTAGGACTGGGTCACCAAGAAGTTCAGAAAAGGCTGGGCACTTATATGTTAATGATTATGGAGGAAATGACATTAGGTTTCAATTGAAACTCAAAGTTATGCAGCTCCTGCCATAAATAAATACTTCTATCTAGTTATCACAAACGTTTTCCGATCAAAAATTGACTCTAAACCACATGGTCCTGAGAGTATTTTCTCCCCCATTGCTACTGTTGATACTGTTAATGATTTCTGTTGGTTGCTTATCCACAATCCATTTCCCCCTTTCTTCTTCCTAATGGAACTCTGACCATGTTCAGGAATGCAATCTAGCTCCAACAGGTTAATTCAGCATCAGATCAACCTGCCCCTTGATTTAATAGTCCAGTGTTACTAGTCTGAGAATGGCCCCCTCAGCCTGCATAGACACGCTCCATGCTTGGGGATATAGCTCACTCCCTTCTGTTGGATATGGACAAGAAAGCAAAAGGCCTCTGAGCTCTGTGATTACCCTCTGAATAAGCTGAATTATGGATAGTGCAGCCAAAAGGGCAGGAAGATGGTGGATCTTTGGTAACACCGCTGGGATATGGAATCAATGATCCCTGAAGCTGCCCAACTCCAGAGCTCAGCTATGTAAGACAGTGCATTTCCTCATGGTTAGAGCTGGTCTGAGTTGGATTTTCTATTAAATGCAGCTGAAAGCATCCTAACAGGTACACTGTGTAAATCAAACTTTAGAGCAGCTGTGGAAGATCTACAGTCTATCACAAGTGTAAGAGTTAGCAGTTAATGTAATTCTGGGTAGCTGTGACAACTTTGCCAGAATTAAATGATTTGTTCAGACTTGCTACTAGAGTTAAATGAATTGTTCAATAGGTATAAACAGGGAAACACAAAATGAAAATGATAATATTACTTCATAATCACCAGTAAACAGGTCCTTTCCTCCGAGGGCACAGCTTAAAGAAGCATCATTAAATATTTGTTGAGTGAATGACAGAATGATTAAACAAATAGTCAATCATATGGAAAACTATCCTTTATTGTTCCCTATTTATGAAGGACTACCCTAGGTATCAGAAATACCTAATGATTGAACCACATATTCTTGAGTAATTTACAATTTATTTTAGGAGAAATAGAATTAAATGGAGTAATTGTATACGGGATGACTAAGTCTTCAAAATTTATCTTCTTAAAACTTAAAATGAGTAAGTTCAAATGAGACATTAGTAATTGGAAAATTTCACTAGATGTAGCAAATCCACTGACCCCTACTAATTTCTACTTATTAATCTTAGGTTAAAGAAAAAAAAGTGATAAAAATTAATGAAGACTGGACTCCCGGGCACTGCAATGTCCTATGCAAGATTCAAGAACTTTGGGGATATAAATATTATTTTTGTTTCTTATTTTAATTGAATATTTTGACTTTGGAGAGGAAGAAAGATGTGGAAAATGAACAGCTAGTGATACAGATGGTGTCGAATAACAGGATCTGCTTTTCTGGACTCTGACTTTTAACATTAGAATGATGAGCTCTTGGCAATGGAAAACTTAGCTTTTTCAAAATGCTAAAAAAAAAAAAAAAACCCACAAAGCTGCCACCAAACATGAAAAAAGAAGAATGAAGAAGCTTTTACCCTAAAATGGGAGGTGGGAATAATAACTGATATGATGAAGAACCAAGAGTTTGACTATGAAAGGAGAGAAAGATACGAAGAACTCATGTGACATGTGCCATGTGCTATCAACAGAAGTGGTTTCAGCAACAGGAGGACTGGTCAAAGAGATGATTCCAAGAACACTCTAAAAGTATGTTTAGTTCATTAAAAAAAAAACAACAACAATAACTGTTTATGCTGAAGAGTGGACAGAAGGGCAAAAACAATTAAGATCACTCTTCCAAAGAACTTATTACCAAAAACCATTTTTCGTTTCGACTCTTTATTCTAAACTTCTCTTTAATGCATCCCTCCAAATAAAACAGGTAAAATGCTCCTGAAGATGCTGGTAAAATGTCACCTCCTTTATCCTTCCCTTCCCAAGAGAATGCTACAGAACAAGTACAATGAGGGTTATACCCTCAATTTTCTGAACCCTTTCACACTAACTTCCGGCATCTAATTGATTTTTACATTCAAATGATGGTCTACAATGGATACTGCTTCCTGTCCATGGGGACAATGTATAGTGAAGCTGAAGGTGTTCCTTTCGACAGACAGAATGAATTGGTTACACACCAAAATGGTAGTACTCATCACTCTTCTGTTGGAACTTCCATGAAAAATTTTACTTTTAATCAAGGAGTGAGCTTGGTGTTGAATGTATGTTTTAACACTACACAGAATATTATTTACAGTGTCAAGGAAAGAGATTCCAGGTCACTGCTCTGACTCTTTTAAGTGAAAAAAATACAAAACAATAATTAACAACACAACTACATGCAAATGTGAAAAGTAGTGAATGGCTAGCAATGCTCTATTTTGCTATTTATTGAGAAATCAAAATCACTGTCCCCCAAAAGCCAGTGTTCTAAACTATCAAGCCAGTCTGTACTGAGGAATCCACAAAAACTTCTTGATGTTAAAAAAAAATGCTTTATACTAAAAAGTCTCAGACACATTCTATATAATCAGTTAGGGCTTTAGAAAGTCAAGGGAAGACTAGATTGCTTGGGAAGAAGTTTCCTGAAGAAGGCAGTCTAATGTACCCATGAGAGGGTAGGGGCAAGGGGGAGGAAGAAGATACACCTCATGGAGATTACATGGTCTGGGCAAGAATGATCCGGGAGGCTTGAAGGACTCTGAGAACGTGATTACAGAGCTTACTCGGCAAATCTAGAGACAGCAAGATCAGTTAGGAGAGCCTAACAATAACTTCAGATATTAAATAATGAGGATTTGGGCTAGATTGAACAGAAGGAATGAAATTAGTAGATTTCATGGGGAAAAATTAAGAAAGCTTGGTAATGGAGTGGTTACACAGTACGATGATGATTCTAAGTTTCAGAGCCCGGAAGTGCTAATGAGAAAAACCACATCATCATCATCCATCTTTATGTGTGAGATGCTAAGCGTGTAAATGCAGGTTCTTCCTTTTCTTTGGCACTGCTAAGCATCATTACTCACCTGGATTATTGCATTACTAACACAGAACTGATTTCCTTGCCACCGGTACTGCTCACTTACCATGCCATCCCTGATAAACATTCTCTATCCTACATAACCCCAGCAATCATACTCTTACTTGAAATTCTTCAAAGGTTCTTTAAGGTCCTTCGTATAAAATGAAAATAATTTAAACAAGGTTGTCTGTGATTTGTCTTCTGCTTTCATCTTAAACCTCATTCCTCATTATGCTGTCACTTGCACTATACACATCAACCTTAATCAAACTATGGAAATCCAGAGAAAGTCCCCACTCTTTATGTTCTGCATGCTGCCTACATGCCCAGGTGAAGACCATTCAAGTAATGGTACTCATCTCCACTAATACTCTTCTGGGAAGCCTTCTCCCTGCTACCTCCCTTTCTGCTCTAAGTCCACATAGGCTAAGTGGGTACCCCAACCTTCGGTGCCACGGTAACCTGTGCACTACAGTAGCCCTTAACCACATTACTTCTTTAAGGATCGGTTTATCCACTGGGTTGAACCACTCCATGGCCCCCAGGAACTTACAGCCTAAATACCAGATTTTAGGAGCCACAACTCATGAATACACACTTCAATACTTTAAAGTAGTTTTAGATAGGGGCTTTCCGATTTGGAAGTTTAGTATTCTGGAAAAATCACAGGACTATGAATCAGAAAGTATGCATTCAGTATGATTCAGTTTCCCAAGTATGCTCTTGGTCAATGACTTAAATACTTTTTCCTTATCAAAAAGTGGTTAAAATGAGGATTCTATAATTCAAACACTTCACATGTGACTTTTCATTGTACTTTTAGCCTAAGTTAATATTTACCTACAAAAAGAAGTGGGACGAATAGCTTTGGCTACTTCACACGCTTACACCCATACTGCATTGAGAAACTTCCTTAAATTAATCAAAGCTCCTCTTCTTAAACTGCAGGTGATACTTAAGTATACAAATTGGCTTAAAAGGATAAGACAGTCTATTCCTAGCATTTCAGAACAAAAATTTTTATAAACATCCAATTATCTATATTAATCAAACAGGTAACCTTTTACAAAGTACTTTGACTTTGGGGGCACCTGGGTGGCTCAGTTGGTTAAGCAACTGCCTTCGGCTCAGGTCATGATCCTGGAGTCCTGGGATTGAGTCCCACATCGGGCTCCCTGCTCAGTGGGGAGTCTGCTTCTCCCTCTGATCCTCCCCCTCTCATGCTGTCTCCCATTCTCTCTCTCAGATAAATAAATAAAAAAATCTAAAAAAAAAAAACAAAGTACTTTGACTTTGAAACCCATATCCTGAATTGTCACAGCAGATTTTCTATAATCTAATGGGTTTTGCTTAAGATAAAATTAGACCTGGTTTGCATATTTGCTCAAATACATAGTACTGAAAAGTGCCTAGGAGTGTGCAGAATGCCGACCATAGAAAATTTGAAATATCAACTGCAATATGCTGTTTTATAACTAATAAACAAAAAAATTACCCAGGAATCTCTCATATGAGCTCATTTACTAACGTAAATTCACCTTCTTCAAATCTCATATGGTTAACCTAAGTTATGTATATTTTAGAGCTATGTCTTTTCTTATATCCTGATAAGAGACTAAAAGAAAGTGGGCAAGCTAGTCAAAAGCAAGTTTTCTCTCTGTTTTCAAGACATACAGTTTTCACATTTAAAATTATAAGCTAGATCTATCTTAAAATCAATAGGTACAATTAATAGGAGAGTATTTGGTTTCATTGTTTCACCTCCTGACCCCAACGAAAAGCAGTTTCCATATTCATAGGAAGACTTACAATTTGGCAACTTTTAACAGAAAAAAAAATGGGACCATATATTTTTCAAGAAGAAAACAAAGTAGTGTTGTTGCATGTAGCAACAGAAACTGATTTATTCTGGGAGATGTCGAAGCCACGTGCTGAGAGCCAGGCAGGGTATGTAATTTGCATAGAAGAGGGAGCAGATTGTGGATGCCCTGACCTGTCAAGCACAGGTAGGGCCTCAGAGATAATGGGTCCCAGAATACAAAGCTCCATCTTGATCCAGACAGACACACACAACATGGAGAGGCCAGATGGATTAAATGAGAGACAAAAACGCTGGCTTCTGCCATCTCCACAGGAAGAACGTAAGTGTTACAGAAGATGACAGATACCAGATACCACATGGAGCCCACCCCAGTCTCTTGGCCCCCATTGTTGTGCCCATGCCATGATTTCGACACTGCTGAGAAGAGGCAAGCCTGCTCGGAGCCACGAAATATAGTCACCAGGGAGATGCTCGACCCAACTGACAAGAGCAATCAAGTATGCCTATGCCTCAGCATCTTACTTGAAGGGCTAAGGTGGGAGGAGAAAACAGGAGACCGGAACAGTACTGGGGGCCGTCTGTCCTGATCCCCGGCCTCAGCTCACAGCCTCACAGCCTTCCAACGACAGTCCACCCTCCATCCCCACACGTCTGGGGCGCACTGGCGGGGGAACAAAAGGACTGTCTGCTAGGAGCCACGTTCAATAGTGAAAGGGCATTTTCACTGCCACTGGCAGCTGTAAGGGCGTCAGACCACAGCTCAGGAAAGCACCGTCTGCCAGGGGCCCACAGAGCACAGACAGTGGCAGGACAGAGACTCGCTGGCCACAGGGGACAGCGCCCTGGAAGGCGGGGATGCGGAGTACAACCAGAAACAAGCATGTGGATGCTGGCAAGCCATGGTGACAAAAAGCATGTGGACCTGCCCATGAGAATCCAGAAGCCAGACTCTGACAAGGATGCTGTTTAGGAAACGAAAGAAGAGTGGACTGAACTGGCCTTTCTCATAACGGGAGCCACAGAACACCTTTTTGTATCTGGTCATATGTAAAGGTGACAGTCTAATGATGAGCAGCAGTAACACCAGGCCGGAGGGACTTTTTTTTTTAGACTTGGCTTAGGCACCAGAGGTCTAGTGCATGCAGGTTCAGCATGCAATACAAACAGGGATGGCAAAGTGACACCACCATCCCCCGCTTCCTGCAGAGGGAAAGGCTCTCTCTCTCAGAGACACAATGGCGCTTGTTAAGCAGGAGCTCACTTATTGATGTAATGAATATGCACTGAATCCTATGATTTGCCAGGCCCCGTGCTCAGTTATGCACGATTAAACCAGACATGGTGGTATCTTCTTTCGTGGGCCCCACGGAGGTGAGAGAGCTTAGAAGGCAGGATTTAGGCAGGTAAGTGAACAGGTACACAGAATCATGGAATGTCAAAACTAGAAAGGACCTCAGAAACCATCTAAATCATCTAAACCAGAGATTTTTAAGAATTTTCTAAAAAACTGCAAACTACTATTAACATTAAAATTTATAGACAACCACAATGTATTAAAAGTAACTTTCAAACCCCCCCCCCAAGTGCCAAGGCAATAGAGGGGTGACAGCAGGGTGAGGGGTGGAGCTGGTGGCTTTGCAGAGGCCCAGCTGCTCAGCCTCCCCCTGACTTCTGGACTCCCCCAAAACCACTGAGGCTCCCCTCCTGACCAGAGGTCACAATACACAACGTTGAGAATCAATGACCCAGTTGTCCAAATCTTCAGTTGCACAATGAGGAACTTAAAGCTCAGGGGTTTTAGGTAGCTTGGTCAGAATCCCAAATTCATCAGAAGAATGTGGACTAGGATGTGAGTCGCCTGATCCCATTTCAGTGCCCACTCTACTCCACTAATGCAATCTCAACAACTCGGATTGCAAAAGTGTGAAATGTACAATAGCTGTTTTCCTTTTTTTTTTTTTTTTTTCCTTTTGTATCCTGAGTTCAAGAGACTGGTCTGGGGGAAAAAATTATAAAATCAGGACTTTTGGAAAACATAGCACTCTGTGGTTGTAGATGCACATGTCACAAGCCTTTCCCATCTCTTGTCCAGAACTTCCCCTTTGGTTTACAAAATGTAATTTGTGTAATTGCTTATTTTTTGTCTCAATGGCAGCTGAATGAAAAAGTTTTAACATAATGTACTTAAACCAGTTATTTCAAATTATAAAAGGAAACTAAGTTGATATAGGAACAAATTTAGTTGTCTATCCACACCGCTAAGAAACTCTGAAGGCTGTCCCTATCAGAATTAAAAACATGCCTTGTATTTATATGTATTCCATCCCCTGATGCATTTGAAAGGAGTGTTATATGTGAGAAAATTACATTTTATGAGTGAATTTAAATAACATTTTAACGAGAACAAGGCATCATAAATTGTAGAAGCTTAAAAAAGAACTAATAGGGGCCAAAGTACCATGTCTTATTAAATATACACCCAGGACAGGCAGAAGCAAGATGCTACCATAGTAGGGCTGCACAAGAGATACTGGTTAGACTGGAAAGGAACCACTGATACAGTGGGGGAAAGCTCAAGAGCATTGAAAGCGCATATGACTCAGGATCTTGGAGCCCAGACTTGGCAGCAAAAATAGGAAATATGTTCTTCATCTGGCAAGAATAGGTTGCATACATTTGAAATCACTGGCTGGTTAGAGTGAAAAAGCTCCATCCAGCTTTAGATGGAGAATGAGGTAAAGGGCTGGGAAGGCGGGGGTGGGGTAGAGCAGTGCTCTCCCCAAGTTTTGCTTTGCATGCTACATTATGGCAGCGGTATTCGTCTTCCCAAAAACATTATAATATGTGCAACAGGCAAAAACTATATAATCACTTTCAGTCTCCTCCGAATGTGATTTTTATCTAAAACTTTTCTTCCCCACCACTTCCTTAGGTATTTGTGCTAGTAGCAGTTCACCCAAAAGTTAAATTGCAAGTAAATTACAATCCACTTCAATTATCTCTGGTCTCTGCCTGAACTTTGAGCAGTAGTGTCTCTAACTTTTCTAACAACAGTTAGATGCATAGAGTCACATTTGAACTTAAAAACTAAAATATAAAGTAGTAATTATGAACAACAGAAGCTAATCAACAGCTTTTACAATTAGGACTCTTCAGTTCTTTCTCTTTAAAAAAAATTTTTTTTAAGTACATCATTTATTAGATATAAATATGATCTCATTAAATTAAACACAAGCAAGAAAGATGACAAGAAAGTACACCAAAATGCTAACTGTGGTTCTCTTTCAGTGGTGGGATTTCATTAATTTTTTTTATTTTATTATGTTATGTTAATCACCATACATTACATCATTAGTTTTTGATGTAGTGTTCCATGATTCATTGTTTGTGCATAACACCCAGTGCTCCATGCAGAATGTGCCCTCTTTAATACCCATCACCAGGCTAACCCATCCCCCGACACCCCTCCCCTCTGGAACCCTCAGTTTGTTTCTCAGAGTCCACAGTCTCTTCACGGTTCGTCTCCCCCTCCGATTTCCCCCCCTTCATTTTTCCCCTCCTGCTATCTTCTTTTTTTTTAACATATAACATATTATTTGTTTCAGAGGTACAGGTCTGTGTTTCAAGAGGCTTAACACAATTCACAGTGCTCACCATAGCACATGTTGTTTTGTTTTTTTTTTCTGATTTTTAAAACCAATGGAATGGTTATTTTTATGCCATGAGTGTTTAACTATAAAGATAACTCCCTGTAACATCTGAACATATTTATAAATATTACCTTTTTCTCAATATTCTATGGAAAACATACTGCTCACTCATATTAACCTTTGACTTTCAATAATCTTTGCTTTAAAGTATTTTGCGATTTTGAGGGCGCCTGGGTGGCTCAGTCAGTTAAGCGGCTGCCTTCGGCTCAGTTCATGATCCCAGAGTCCTAGGATCGAGTCCCGCATCGGGCTCCTTGCTCAGCAGAGAGTCTGCTTCTCCCTCTGCCTGCCTGCCACTCCCCCTGCTTATGCTCTCTCTCTCACTCTCTCTGTGTCAAATAAATAAAGAAAATCTTAAAAAAAAAAAAAAAAGTATTTTGCGATTTTGAAATGTACACATATATAAATATGCTAGCTCAGATCAAGGAAAGCAAGAGTAATTCATAAAAATGAAACAAAAATATGTTTTCAAAAGCATAGATCATTACATATGTTCACTGGAGATATCACATTGTAGCCGTGGTTTTCAAACATTTTGATCTCGGGATAACTTTAAATTCCTAAAAATTATTAAGGACTCAAAATAATTTTTATGTGGATTATCTCTTACTGAATTGAAACTGAGAAGATCTAAAAATATTAATTACTTTATAAAAAACAAAATTTATGTTAACAGAAATTGTTTTTTTATAAAACAATAATTGTATTTTCCAAAAACAATAAGTGCAAACAATGGCACTGTTTTACATTTTAGCAAATCTCTTCATTATCTGGCTGAAAAGGCAGATTCTTCTATCTGTTCTGCATTCAATCTATTACAATATCAAATGACCTGTTGTCTCTAGAAAACCCAACTTTGTACTTGTGAGAGAAAGGGTACAAAGATAAATAACTTCTTATTATTATGAAAAGTTTAGACCTCAATGATCCCTCTGAAGGATAATGGGAACCCTTGGGGTTCCCTAGAACATATTTGAAGAACTGCTGCTCCACAGAGCTGTTCGTAATTTCTGTTCTTTCAGACATTATAAACTTACACGTCTCCATGCCTTCATCATCATCATCTACCGCAGGTTTATCATAAGACTTGTCGATGGCAGCTCTGAAGCTCTCATTGCATCCCCTTCCTCTGATTATCCGCGGCCGTGGGCGGTGGAAAGGAATATCCCCATTCAAAGTCACCTCAGCAACTGCCGTCTGCAGACTCTCTAATGAGCTTGACTTCTTCAGACCCAGGGAAGGTCCTACATCTCTGCTGGGGGAACCTTGAAGATTAACAAAAACGAAATGTTAGTTAGAATTAGTGGTGAAAATGATATACCTGAATACCTATGGACTGTGGAAAACATCAGGGACATAAATTATTTGCTCACTGAGTTTTAAAGTGTGGATGGAAATGTTAAAAAATAAAGTAATAGTAACTAATTTTAATTTTTCTCAAATATATATTAAATTTAGTCTGTTTTCTCTATTTTCATTAGGAAAAACTGTAAGTTATTAGTCTCCACTTTTAGCTCAAGAGATAAAATTTTGGTCAAATCATCTGCTCCAAGTATGTAAATAATCTAAAAGAACCAGAATAAACCAGAAGCTCATTTGAAAAGTAGGGATGATGTGAAGGCTAAGATAAGCAATCAAGAGTAAGCTTTGTAACTTAACTGAAATCATTTATTGACAGTTTCAAATTATTTACAGCAGAAATTAAACTTTCATTTCAATGAATTCCATGAATTCTCTTCCTCATCACACAGCTCAGTAGGTGAAACGAGCGCAAAAGACTACTTGTCACCAAGACAATTAGGGAACCCTGGCACCAGGCAGAAACCGGATTCTGGGAAACATTAATGTTCTCTGAAAAGAGCAATGCAAGATTTGAATAGAAACAAATTACATAAGGGCTCTCACCAGGGAGCAGTAAAGGAGAGACTCAAGAGCTGAACATGAGGACGTATTATCTCCAGGCTGGGGAGTAATAGCTGCTTGAGGAACAAGTGATGAGCAGGAGGAAGAAAACTTAACAATTAACAAAGAAAATTTCAGTAGGATGGCAGGGGAGAGTTGGGGGAATGAACAATTTGGCTGTTTCTGGAGGATATAGGGCAGGGGGCCTGAGAGAATACCAGTAGTACCAAGCTTTTGAAGGCGATCAAAACGTATTTCTTTAAGCAAGGCAGACAGCCTCATCCATCACTGCCTGACCTGGCACTCAGAGGTAGATGAAGTTTGTCTCTTGATGACTCAAAGACCAGCTCTGTACCACCACTGGGCAACCCAGGTTTTAGAACTAGCTTGTCACTTCCACTGTGAAAAAGACAGGTACAAAAAAATGGGAAGGTAGAAGAGAGCAGGTCGTTTATCTGTACATGAGGTCATCGGCCCACTTGTTAATCAATAATTAAGGCATAGCCTTGATATGTTATTACCTAAAAGGCAATAATTATGACATGGGCTTTGCATGGCTCAGGGCAGAAAATAGAATAAAAGTTACACTGAGAGTCAAAACAAGAATTATCTTTTTAAGATCCATTTACATTACATCTTTCACCTAATTTTCACAATGGGGTAGCAGTTTTTAAGTTAGAATAAATATGTCAAAAACGTAACATAGGCAGAAAGGCAGACAGATGATTCTAATAAAGAAATAATAATCCATCAATTATCATGCTTAGAAGATGATTTATTGAACTTTCTCAGTGCAGGATTGTATATATTTGATTATTTTATGACAAAAATTCCCAAGAAATGTTTCTTTTTAGGATGATCAATCTTACTTTTTCTCTTGATAGCACTATCATTTTTGACAAGTTCATGTTCTAAATACTCATAAAAGTCATGTCACAGGAAGGAAAATTAATTTTGTTCCAGAACTAAACAAAAATTAAGAAATCAAGGAATCAAAGAGAACAGGAAAAGATCACTCATAGGCAGGGACATTTACTTTATATTTCCTAGAATTAGCAAGGGAAAATCTTTTTCTGAATAACTCATGCATATCAATTTTCATAACCTACCAGCTGCATTTGGGTTCTATAAACACTTATCAGGCAAATATTTGGCACTTTTTTGGGAGCATAAAGGACATGCATATGTATATATGTGTGTATATTCATATCTATCTATATTTCTCCAATAAAGATTTCATTCTTCCAGTAAAGATTTTCATAAAAACATCACTTAGGTATATTAAGATTTTCTTTATGAAAAGTTAGCTGAGATTTGACTTAATATACTCACAGCACTAAACATTTTAATAATGAAATCCAGAAATAGCATGAATATCAAAGTAAGTGTATGTCTATATATACATGCATATAAGTATTTATATACACATAAATATATATGTATGTACTAAAATACATAAACAAAGGCAAATCTGGTGAAAAAACAATGATGAAAATATTAATAAGCAATAGATATTTTGTAAGCGTAACTTAAGACTTACCTATTTACTCTTCTCTCTGAAATTATAACACTGTAGTGTAACATTTTGGCCATGGTGTGTATTGTGTATATAGGAAATCAGTGAATTATTGCCTCTATACTTATGTATGGTTGAAAATCCTCAAAGTAAAAAGTCATACAAAAAGTCAAAATTTGTAATTTGTGAATCTATAAGAGGGATCAGCCAACCATGGGCCTAACCTGGAATGTCCATTTGTTCATATATATTCTATGGCTGTCTTCATGCTACATCAGAATGAACTAATTGTTACAGGGACTGTTTGGTCTACAAGGCCTACATTATTTACCATCTGGTCCTTTACAGAAAGAGACTTCTAATTTGTAACATGGATATGATACATTTAAATATGGTATTTTTCAAAGGAACTTTAACAAAGATTTTGTTAAGTAAAAATGTTAAGATTCCTGAATGAGGGTTTACTGAGAACCCTGACATGATAAACTTAGCATCTACTAGGGGGTGAAAATTTAAAATGCCTTTCTCTAAACAAAGTATGGGCAAAAATTAGTCTTATTTACACACACACACACACAAATCAGCGTCTTTTAATTTTAAAATAATATTCTAAAGCTCTTTATAAATCAGGTCATTAGGATACTTTGCTTATTTTTTATATTCAAAGATCAAACTGTTAGAAACCCAATTCTCTTCTTATTCTCTTTTCATTCACAAAGAAAATTTACCCCCAAATATCAAAGAGGATCCTTAAATCCAGAAATAAAGGGGAAAATTGTAATCATACTATTTTCCCTAGGCCTATTTTTCTACTACGTACTAATACCTCTCTTGCCGAAAAAAAGTAGAGGATGTCTTTTGCAAGGGCGAAGGGAAATGGAATTCAATTTTCATTACAAAAGGCTTATGGCTAGACAGATGATCTGTGCTGAAATGCCGCTGTGGCTCTACCAAAAACCTTTGGACTGAACTGTAAACTCATGACCATCTTAGCAATTCAAGTGAACTGAAGAAAGAAAAATAACTGAAAATCTGTTCACTGTCCAATATTTCAGGGTGGAAAGGATCTAGTTTAGACATTTTATTCATGTAGTTTTAAAACCAATAGACCAAAAAAAAGAAGGTACTGTGGTGTCTATGTAATAATTTTGCGTCCCAAGGTTTTCTAGTTTACTTTGGTAGGATCGATGGCACATAGTGGGGGAAATAAAAGAAAAAAGGAAAAAGTTCTTTTTTTTATCTAGGATCCAACTTTTTAAAACACAATAAAAACACAAGATTGAATTAGATTATAAAATCTGCCCTCTCTCCATGAAAGTTATTTTATGTGTTCAATTAAACTCTGAATATCATCATTATTTTTTTAATTGCACTAAGATTAGCTCTTTTCCTTTTAGTAAAAGTGAGTTGGTCAAATTAAATATTTTCCTGACTTTACCTGACTGGCATAGTATATGAAATCATGTTCTTTAACCTGAGCAGTTTGAGTTGGTTTTCATGAACATTAACTTGGACAGGGCTTACTTCTTTAAAAGTATTGAATACTATTAACTCCAAAATTAATTACTAATTTACATATATGAACTATCAAGTAGTTTTTCTTTAGCCCTGTTTCAGAATTTCAGTGAATTTCATGTTTGATCAGAGAAATAACAACATAATAATGGCTGAAGCTATAGTTAATTGCCTTCCACTACGGTTAATCTTACGATTTATTGGATGTAAATTTTACAATCTTTACAGAATGTTAAAACTCCAACCATGTCCACAATAATCTTTACGTATGTATATGGATACACATACACAGGCTAAAACTAATGATTACTGCAGGTTAAAAAGGTGAATTGAAGCTAATTAGTGCTAAGTGATGTGACTACATCATACTGGATCTAGAATAATTAAAACACTATTCCAAACTTATAATAATAAATCATAAATGTGCCATTGTACAAAGCACATTACTTTAATTACACATGAAGACTTTCCTGTGATTATTTTCATAAAATAACATAAAAAGTAAATTCTATCATAATGAAAACCCAGTTCAATATAATCTATTGATGCTACATAATGATCTAGGCAGCATTTTAGAAGTAAGTTAAAGTTACTGAGTTAAAAAAAATAAAACTTTAAAACAGGTTCACAAAGTCAAGACAAGGGGGCTGTGTACATTATACAGTCTAAGTCAATGTTAGACAACCAGGAGCTAATTCTTGCATCTGAAGAACTACAGTTTTCTGAGCAACTAAAGAGAGCAACAGTGAACACTGTCCTTCAGCGAAAACTATTTATATTTATGCTATTATCCTTCAAATCAAAATCACCCCTTTGAGGATCATTGTTTGGACATCAAGCCAGGCATCTAATAAATGACTTAGACACTTAAGAGTCTACTAGAAGAGATCTTGTTTTCAAGACTTTGATTTTTATTTAATTGCGACAAAACATTCCTACACAAATACTATTAAAATCTAGATTGTTTTAGCATTTTTGAAACACTAAGTTATATTTGCACTTAATATGTACTACACTGATAAATTCCCTCTAACAGAAAATTTTTCTTTTCTTGCACAATTTGATTTCCTACAATGAAAACATCCATGCAAGACTGGAATATTTATGTTTACATGCAATATGATTGGCAGCTCTATAATTATAATCAGCTCCTTGGACCATGGTTTCTATGGCAACAGTCTAACTGTCCATTCTTACCTGCTTTCTGGTCATCCACTGTATTGAGTTTAGTCTCGTCAGCTACTGTTAAAAGGTAAATGTATACTGGTTAGCGCAGTTAGTTCCCACAGCCCAACATGCTTCAACCATTCCCGGATCTTTTCAGTTAGGTGATCATTCTTAGGTAATATTTCATGCAAATAATATGAAACATCAAGCAAACATTCATAATCAAAAAAAGGGGGGAAAAGCAGTGTCTCCATGCAAAATGCCAGTCATTTCATTTCACAGACACGTGTGTTATTTTTAAGTTAGCATATCATAATTAGCCAAGGCAATGCATCGCCAAATTTTTCTTTTATGCATGTGATAAATTAATACTTTTAGTCTTAAAGTACAAACAGCCACCAGGGAACAGCATAAATAAGTTACAGTTGATTAACAAAGGTTTTGTAAATCATCTGATCAGTTTATAGATATAATTAATTATTTTACTTTTTTGTTTGCTTGCTTTTTGGTGGATTTTGATTTAAAAAGAGACACTACCTGATTGGTGTTTGAACAACTATGATTATTTTTCTCCTCCCATTTGCTTCCAAATACTTTCTACAACAAATATTCTCTCAAATTATTACTTCAATTACATGCCTTAATTATCAACACATAAGAGTTTCTATTAAGTAAACCTTAAAGAATAGCAGAGAAACAAAGATATCATGAAGTAACCAAATTCTACACATGGATTGAGATAATGGTTTCTCTCCAAAACTTCTCCTTCTAGTTCAAGAATCCCACAGCCAACCAAATACTATATCAAAAAATTGGTTTTAAACAGCCAAAATTTAAAACATTTCATCTTTTCAAATAAAGATGCAGGAATATAGCATGATATGCATGTGTTTGTTTCTTTTATCATCAGGAAACATATATATTAACATACTGCACATTATGTAAACATGCCACTTATGAGAAATATGGTTATCTCAAACTCAAAGAAAAACTAATTTTTGCCAAATTGTCACATTTCACATTTATTTTCTCTATTGCTTAAAGTAAACAGACATGTGTTTGGGACTATCAATTTTAATCTGAAAGCATCTAAACCTTATTTAGATAAAGATTCATGGAGATTGTACTCACTACCTAAATCCATGCTTTTTGATTTTCGCGTTTTAACGAAATCCAATTGACTGGCATCTGAAAATTGCTTTGTGCGTTTTTCTGACATACTCTGGCGTCCAAATCCTTCTCGTTGAAAAGCAAGAACTGGATCAACATCTGGACTCAAAGAGCTGTTGTGAAGAGAAAGATAAACATAAAAATATTTACTATAAATAGAGGACATCCAACTTTAGGAAAGATCATATATGCCTGTGTGTATGAAGGTATGCATATGTGTATTCCTCAGAAATGCTGAAACTAACACAAATATAGTCCATTAAAAAAAATCTGTGGCTGAATAAGAAGTGATGGGAAAATACAAAATTAATCTACATTTAGAGTAATTCTTTCTCCGTGTGAGTTCTCTCCTCCTCTATTCCCTTCTGTTTCCTCACTGTTCTCCTATACATCATTATTTCTAAGTGATTATAAAAAATAAAGCTGATGGGGGTGGTGGGGTGGCTCAGGCAGTTAGGCATCCGACTCTTGGTTTCGGCTCAGGTCATGATCTCACGGTCATGAGATCAAGCCCTGCATCGGGCTCTGTGCTCAGCGGGGAGTCTGCTTCTCCTTCTTACTCTGCCCCCCCCCACCCCTACCCCCCACTCACATGGGCTCTATCTAAAATAAATAAAATAAAATCTTTTTTAAAAAAATAAGGCTGATGTCTTTTAGACATTGGGAGGATTGAATATTTGAGGAAAACTTTCATATATGAATATAAATACTGGCAGCAAACAAGTGACTATATGAATTGCAATCAAATAGAAGTTTGAAAAAAGAACATGTCTGGTCTTCTTATATATCCTTTATCCTGTGTTTCAGAAAAGAAGAAAAAACACCGTTGTGGCATGTAGTTTCATGAGAATATAGTTTCTCAGCAATATGTATTCAACTGAGAAGAAACCAACTCAACACATCTTTATTAGAACCTATTCTGATTAATGTGTTGTGCTGGGGACCAAAGTTAAAAAAAAACAAAACAAAAAGATCTCTGTTCTCTGCAAGCTCCTAAGAAAAAATACTACACCAGAAGCACCAAGCTGATGCTGTGGATGCAGAGATGGGGGAATGATCGGTATCAGGGGGAGGCAGGAATAGCACGACTAAGCCCGGATAACATTTGATTTCGGTGACACCAACACAGTAGTTCAAGCAGAGATGATGAAGCCCATGGCAAATCATTGGTAACAGGATATAGCTGGAAGAGTTTTCCAAGTGGACGTGGCAAGGGATGACATAGAATCACTCCTATTTGTAAAAATCTGTGAACACTTTAAAAAGTACTACTAAGTGGGCGCCTGGGTGGCTCAGTCGGTTAAGCGACTGCCTTCGGCTCGGGTCATGATCCTGGAGTCCCGGGATCGAGTCCCGCATCGGGCTCCCTGCTCAGCGGGGAGTCTGCTTCTCCCTCTGACCCTCCCCTCTCTCATGTACTCTCTCTCATTCTCGCTCTCTCAAATGAATAAATAAATCTTTAGAAAAGAAAAAAAAAAAAAGTACTACTAAGTGTTCTGAGCACAGTTCATACAGTAAGAATGGTCGTTCTGTGTTCTGGGCACACTGAGTAAATATATCGCTCTCCTGTATCAGCACCTAGCCACCTTCCCTATCTGGCCAGGTAGGAGAAAATGCCTCCACAGCAAGCTAAACATACTAGAAGGTGAGGGGCTGCTTCCACCACGTCAGCTGAGTTTATGATAGCCTTCCTTATGCTTCTAATGGAAGCAAACTTCTCTACTCTTTATGGCCGTAGACAATTACCATCCATACTGGTAAAGGAGAGTGATCCGGTTTGGATATCCATCAAAAATGTAGCTGCAGTTTACTGTGCATGAAATGATAGCTGGCTCTGAGAGAAGAGCTAAAGCAAAAATTGTAGAAAGAAAGACATCAAGGGAAATGCTTCGCCCTCAGGTTAAGTGACCTGAAATGTGTCGGGTGCACGTGTATTAATATGCTCTATAAACAGAATAGCAGCCTCCCCCGTCTGACAAGGCCAGTAAGAGAACTCAAGGACATAATGTGAAAGCCCTTTATAACTGCAAACCACCATACAAAGTAAGTTATTATCACCCCACAAAGACTGTCTATCTCAAATAATCAACATAATACAAATTATGATAACAGAAACAGGGTCCTTAAAAACCACACAGGGGAATGGCACAATCCTTCCCAATCTTTTCCACCAAGTACAGAGCAGGGCCCCTAGGATGAGACAAGGTAGGTGCCCATGACTCCAAATTTAAGGAAGCACTCACTCTCACGGTCATGCAAGTTCAGGGTGCACACCTGAGAATGACTCCCTCCTTATATTTTGTATCCTGGGCATCCAGCTTGCCTCCCCTTTGTCCTGGTCTCAGTACTGAGAAAAGAGAAACTGTATCCCACGGGCACTGGGAATTCAGCCCAGAGCAAGAACAACTTTATTTGGTAAAACTCTATGTTATGTCCTAATAATGTTGTTTTCTCTGTATTCTATATTAAATCTTTTCATTTTTTAATACACCATATTTTTTTCTGTAAAACTTTGAATACATTTTTGAAATCTTCAGGGCCCCTTCACATACTACTATGCTTGCATACCATGTATATATGTATATGCGTATGCATGTATGTATTTATAACTATAGCCTATATTATATACATAATTGCATACTGCTTATACCTATTTCTTGAATTTTTTTGCATTTTTAAAAATTTTATTATGTTATGTTAATCACCATACATTACATCATTAGTTTTTGATGTAGTGTTCCATGATTCATTGTTTGCATATAACACCAGTGCTCCATGCAGTACGTGCCCCCCTTAATACCCATCACCAGGCTAACCCAT